GGAAGGCAAGCTGTCTTTTCGCAGCCACGTTCCCCTGAAGATGGTCAGGTCTGCAGCTGGAGAAAATCAAAGACATACAGAGTATCATTGAGGGAATTCTAGCAAATGTCAGGTTTAACCAAAGCCCCCACATTTTATAATCAGCGTTCAGAGAGGTTAAGCAACCTCAGAGATAAATCTAGTCTGTAAGTCTTGACTCCTGACTCCTTCCTTTTTGACACCAGAATTTTTGAGAAAGTCTTTGAAAGAAATCACGAAATAAGCACCTCTGATCAAAGTATCAAAAATCAGCCTCAATATTATGATAGGTAAGTGGTCAACATGGTCCTTTGCTAATACACACCCTACCCCACCATTGTTTAGCATAGTCCTGAGGCCATGCCTCAAGGAGAACCATTGCTCACACTTTTCTGTTTTTCCTCAGTCTCCCTCTCTGGGGAGTGAAGCCACATCCCTGCACACAGGTGGTAATGTCTCACCAACCCTGAAGTCACTTCTCCAGCCTACAATCAAGAACAAGGTAGTAGAAAAGACCTGGAAACAGCCCATGGAGACATCACAAAATCCAAGTTCCAAGGTTCAGGCCCCTTGCTCACTGAAAAGCCCCTTAGACTCCTTCAGATCCCTTTAATTCTTGTTTCACAGATAGTTCTAACAAGCTTACCTTTCAGGTTTATTATTATTATTAATTTTTTTTTGATCTATGAAATATCAGAAGCAGCCAAGAAATTAGAATAAAGGGGTTGAATTGCTAATGATAGGCATACTGAGAATTGCAGAAGTGATAGCTGTAGACACAGGGTAGCAAAAAGAAAACAAACAAACAAAAAACCACACAAATAGAAGTCCCCAAAGCACTGAGACCTGGAATTGTTTTAACGTAGAACTAAATAGCCGTACATGTCTCAGTAGACCTGAGTGTATTGCTGTGTGCCTGAATCACACATACAAAAAAGGAGTTCTTCAACCCATCTTTTGATTCTAAGAATAATGGCCCAGCTTCACCCAGTTCAAAGGACTCCTATAAATCTATATGTAATTTCAAAGGTCAAAAATGAGACACCCCTCCCTGCTCAGGAGCCAGGCCCCTGTGTTAGCATTTCCTCTTCAGATGCATTTAACATGTAACAGACAGATACACTCAGCATTTCCACCTCTTTAGGAGAGAAGAATATGACTGTGAGTTGGCATAAGGATTCTTCGAAGATTGTACAAAGAAACAGTATGCCTGATATTGGAGGAATGTCTAAACCCTTTAAGAACAAGCAATATCCAAGCTCCCATAAGCAGCCTGGAAGCTTCTATTTATCCACAAATAATCGACATGCTCCAGATAATCTTTCCTTTCTGTTTGTTAATGGAGGCCCTAAGAGCCCCTCTAGGCCACCGTTGAATGATTGGATGAACGGATGGATGGATGGTGAATAAATAAACCTGGTGACATAGCTAGAGTTATTTGAAAAAAAAAATCACCTTTCTTTAAATACAGTCCTCTGCAGACTTTCCCCGATTCACACATTTCTCCCAATGAATCTGCATCAGTAAGGCCTGAATATATTGACATATTTCAGATCATTTTTTTGCTGCTTGTATCCTAGGAGGACATCCAACATTCAGATGAAAAGTCAAGAATCAAAGGATATATAAAGAGCTCCCCAGACAAGAAAAAGCTAAAGGAGTTTATCACCACCAAATCAGTATTACATGAAATGTTGAAGGATCTTTTGAAGAAAAAGAAGAAGACAAAAGAATCTAAGACAAGGTTTGTGACAGGAGGATGGGGGAGCCCTGTGATTGCCCACCCCTCTGGAACCACACATGGTGGGAACAATGGCCAGATTTTGCAAATAAAAATACAAGATGCCCAGCTAGATTTGAATTTCAGATAAACAATGCATAGTTGTTATTATAAATCTAGCCCATGCAGTAGTTCCTGGGTTCGTCTTCCTTTCCCCCAGTCCCATTCTGCAACTTCTCGGTGAGCCGGCAGCCCCTCCGACGGCCACAATTCCCTGTTGTAGCTCATGCCTAACTAATTTCTTCAATCCATCCTCAAGGTTGCTGTGGATTTTATTTCTTTCTCTTTAATTTTAATAGCCCAGCTTAAATTGCCTCAAAACTATGTACAGCAAATAAATAAACATTTTATTTACAATAAAATGGCAATAGATACATATCCATCAACAATTGAATCTAAGAAACAAAATAAACAAACAAGCAGAACAGATACAGAGAACATTTTGACAGTTGTCAGATGGGAGTGGCATTGGAAAAGGTGAAGGGATTGAGAAGTACAAATTGGTTGTTACAAAATAGTCATGGGGATGTGAAGTACAGCATAGGGAATATAGTCAATAATATTCTAATAACTATATATGGTGTCAGATGGTATGAGATTTATCAGATGATCACTTAGTAAAGATATATACTAGCAATGTCTAATCACTGGGGTATACACCTGAAACTAATATAATACTGTATGTCAACTATAACTGAAAAATAAAAAATAATTTTTTCAAAACTGAAAAAGTTAAAGGATATCAATGTCACCTTGAAAAAAAAAGAATCTATTCATTTAAAAGTTTCTAAGTATCCAAATGGCTGGCATCAGTAGATATGAGCATTGTGTATCCATTCATTCAACAAATATTTATTAAGTGTGTGCCCCATAGAAGTCCCAAAAGCTTGCTTTCTGGTAGGCCCTGAAAACCCCAAACTGAGTAAGATTGACTATTCAGTCAACTTCACAAAACCACATCATCTTGAAGCAGAGGAAGAAAGCAAGCATGCATATAACTTGCTCCATACCTAGCACTGTTTTAGGTACCTTCTTAAGTTACCACTTTTTGTTTTATGACAACCCTCAAAAGTAGGTATAACCCTTAACCAGACGAAGGCGCTGAAATTTGGAGAGGTCAAGTAGCTTGTTCAAGCCACATAACTAGCAAGAGTCACAGTGAGGACTGCAGCCCATTGCTCTGCATGGCCCAAAGTAAGGGCCTGTGATGAGCCTCAGAGAGCAGACTAGACTGACTACAGCTATCTGCTGCATCTCTTCAGGAAAATTATAAGCACTTATGAGCCTCAGTTTCTGTCTAATGGGACCACAGTGCCTCTTTCAGAAGTCAGTTGTGGGAATCAAAGGAAATAATATATGTGGGGTCTCCTGGCTTTGGATCCAACACACATTAGGTATTCAGCAAATGCTTCTTATGTGGGTACGGTCACCAAACCCTCTTCCACACTGACCTCCCAGCCCCAGAGGTCCTTGATACCCGTGTCTGCTGACAGTGAGCATCCCCAACCACTACCAGATGCAGGTGGCTCATGGCCTCCTGGAGCACTCTGTTCTGGACTTGGAAGTCCTCACGCACCTGGCATCCCTGTGTGCCCAGACCACACCAGGTGTGAAGAAGACAGGAGGAGAAGACACAGGCCTCCCTGGAGAGGTGACAGTTTAGCTCTGGGGACACGGTCTGTCCAAGAAACCTTCGAGAACTCTCTTTAAGAACATCATCTTTAAGATGATACATCATCTTTAAGAACAGGAATGGGAGGCAGTGGAGGCATGACAGCCTCTCTCTTCCTCCCTCCACCTCATCTCTCTCCATGTCAAGAAGGAGCTAAGCTGACCACCAGGCAAAACTTCCTGGATGAGGGTGGCAGGCCGCTCCCTGGATCCTGATACTCACAGAACTGACTCTTTGTTTCCTCCAGTGCCCTCTCCCTCTTGTTCAGTCCCCTTTTGAGCTACTGTCCCATGTGACTCTTAGCCAGCCGGGTATCTCCTAGCCTTGTGAGAGATCAGTGTTGCTCTAATATTTTTCATCTAAACCACCATGAAAAAAAATGATCAGAAAGATGATTTTGTAAGTATGTTAAACCACAGTCAGAAGAGGCAAGGTCCCCCACATTCCACCACCCTAACTGGCAGTCCTTGAAGTGTAGGTGTTCAAAATTCAAGCTCTTAGAACTGGCCTTTTGGACTATATTCCAGCTCTACAACTTCTAAACGGTAAACCTGGACAAGTTAGTTAACCTCATTAGCCTCGATTTGTTCATGTATAAAATAGTTCCTCCCTTAAAGAGTTGTGGTAAAGAACCAAGGTCAGCAAACGATGGTTCATGGGTCAAATCTGGCTCACTGCCTGATTTTATGAAGTCCGGTGAGCTAAGAATGGTTTTTGCATTTTAAATGGTTGAAAAAAATCAAAAGAAAAATATTTTGTGACACGTGTAATTCAAATTTCAGACCCATAAATAAATTTCTGTTGGAAATTAGCCATGAATGTTTGTTTACAAATTGCCTATGGTTGCTTTTCTGCTACAATGGCAAAGTTGAATAGTTGCAACAGAGACATTATAGTGCACAGCCTAAAATATTTATTACCTGGTTCTTTCCATAAAAAGTTTGTAAATCCCTGGTAAAGAGAAAAGGAAGAAGTGCATGGAAGTGCTTGTATAGTTTTAAATACCTAAAAAATCTGCTATTATTTCCTCTTATTGCCATCTAGTGTCCATTTGCTTTTGGAGATACCCAAGTAATTACAAAGATTTTCTAAATTATTTTTAAAATCACTGCACAATACACATTTTCCTGTAGAACATGTGGTGGTATCTAGTTCTAACTGGCATTATTAATACAGAATACACATATAAGCATAACCAATTGACACAGATAGTAGCGGGGTGAGGGCCTGTGCTGGGGGATGGGAACGTGCAGGGAGAGGTCAATGGGGTAAAAGGAGACATATGTAATACTTTCAACACTAAAGAATTTAATTTTTAAAAAAATACAGAATACACTGATTGTCCTGAGCACACAGAAAGACAATGAAGAGAGGTCCCATCCTCCCAATGTCATCCTCTAGACTTACTCTTAGAATACATGGTGGAAGGACTTGGAAGCAAATAACAACAAAGTCTCCAGATTTCTTTATATCACAGCACAGGGAAGGGAGAAAGGGCCTTAGAAGTTGTTTGATCCAATCACCCTGTTTTATAAATGAGGCATCTGGGCCCTGATGAACTTAAGGGACTTAGCTAAGAGCACCCAACTCTCTTTGACCACTCCCACATCTTGGTGTCTCTCCAGTGTGTACTTCCTTTCCCTTTAAGTCATTGGCTCCAACGACATGTCCTGACTTTCATCTGATATGACCTTGACAAAACAGCTTACATGCAGGTCCTGGTTTATTAGATGTTCATAATCTTGAAAGCAAATCAAATCCATTATTTAAAATTTGTTTTATGTTTGCAATTAAAGTGTAATTGACATATAACATCATATTAGTTTCAGGTGTACAACATAATGATTCCATATTTGTACACGTTGGGAAATGATCACCATAATAAATAGTTAGCATTCGTTACCATACATAGTTACAAAATGTTTTTCTTGTGATGAGAACTTCTATGATTTGCTCTCTTAGCAACTTTCAAATATGCAATACAGTCTGATTAATTATAGTCACCATGCTGTACATTCTATCCCTATGAGTTTTTTATCACTGGGAATTTGTACCTTTTGAGGCCCTTCATCCATTTCACCCACCCCCAAGCTCCTCAAATCCATTTTGAAAACAAAGGAGCATCTACCCTGGCCCAGCCTTGGCATCCATTCCCCAGCAAATACAGGCTCTTTAGTGTCCCTAATCAAGAGCTGTCTGTGTTTACCCAATCTCTGCACAGGGTCCTGGCACAGCCTCACTCAGCTGCCTGTCAAAGGTCCAGAACAGGTGAGAAAAATGAGAAGGCCCTGCCCGGAGCAGTGGATGTGGCCCTCACAGCCTGCCCTTCATACAGCAGGACAGAACGGGCATTCACTTTCCTCCTCCTTGTCACGATACCAACCGAAATTACCTTTAAATGAGGAAGAGCGTCATTATTTCATTAACAGGGTTGCGACAATTGAGGAAAATTTGTCTCCAGTGTAAACAACCGGAACGTCTTTGCACTCTATGAAAACAAGGTTAAATTACTTGCAGATCCGGGCGACGAGAAGATGTAGGAAGTGAACCTGAAGCCTGACACATTCAAGGTCTGGGAAATGAAAATAATAGGAATTGTTCTGATTTTTCTAGAGGAATTGAGCTCAGAGATGGGCATACCTCTTTGCACAAGCAAGGATTCCTGTGCCCTCCCCTTTGCTTGTAAGAAGGGTCGTAACTTCCTTCCATGACCATATCCCTTACATGTCCACCAGGAAGATAGTCACCACATGCCTAGGCCCTGGGTCACCCCAGCAGGGATCTGACGAGCCCTAGGCCACGGGCTCCCTTGACCTCCTCTGGGAGAGACTGTGGGGGCCTGGTCAAGAGAACAAGAGGCTAATCTGCCGAGAAGAGTTCCACATTTTAAAAAAAAGAAAGAAAAGTAAAATTAAACATATTTGACCTGGGAAGAAATAGAAGACTTTTCTAGTTGCCAAAGGGACAAATTCGACAGGGAGGCCAAGCAAATGTGAACTCCTGGGGAGTGGGTCAGAGGAGCCCGGATGGAGTACACTAGGCTGGGGGTGATGGGACGATTTATCCGGGTCCAGTCAGATGGGGAAACCCATCAGAACGCTCCACAGAGCTCAGCACAGTCTGCCCTTTGTACGGGTATTTATCTAAGTCGTCAATTTTATAGCCACATTACCTTCCCAGTCGGCAGGAAAGCAGATATAGGTGCCGTCAAGAGGCCTGGCTGTGGTTTGCACCGCATAATGACAGATGCCAAAAACAAAGGGGCGGGGAGAGGGCACTGGGGAGAGACCACAAAAGAGCCTTTATAATTATGCCTCTGCCTCCCTGGGGGGCCTGCTGCTCCCTCTCCTCCTTGCGGAGGTGCCCGGCCCGCCTGGGGAGGGAGGGCTGGCGGTGGGGGCAGGGGGGGCGCTGCCTTCCCTGGACGTGCAGGGCAGCTGCCTAGCACGCGTCTATTAATAACCGTGCAGGGACTTGCAGGGAGCTATTAGTCGCTGTCTCTCTTCTCCAGGCTAAATAGCGGCAATCCCTTTAACCTTTCTTCATGGGCCTGATTTTCCATCCCTTTAATCATCCCTGTCACTTTCTGCTGGATGGGCTCCACTCTCACCACATCCCTCCCCCGAGTGGCTGGGGACTCCGAGCCAACTGGAAGAGCAGCTCGCCTGAACAGCGCTCCTTCCCTCTGCGCCCCCCTCTGCCTGCCCTGCGCTGGCTCCAGCGGCCTGGGAAGCCCAGGGTGGTGGCAGGCACCAGAGGCCAAGTTACCGCATTCCTGACCCTTTGGAGCGCTTCCTCCTCCCGTTGGGATGTTCCCGGTGACCAGAAAGCCTCTAAAATCCAAGAGTCTCCTCTGAGCTGATGTGCTCTTCCCTGCCAGACCCCAGCCTCTCCTGTGGACCCTGAGAACAGCCAGCTATCCTGCAGCCTTTTCCCCCCGCCAAAACACTTACAAGCCAGCTTGAGATGTAATTTTTTTAAAGCAAATGTCATTTTTATCACGTCCATCCCCTACTCAAGGGCCCTGAGGCGCTCCCTGTTACTTTATGGTATTGCACATGTAAACACTCACCAGATACCGGGTCCAGAATGCTCCGTTCTGCCTGTGTTCTAGATCCTGTTTGGGGTGTGCTGATATAGACATAGATGCAGGGTTAGGGTCCTTTGACAACAAACAGCAGAAATCAACCCTGACTGGTTTCAGAATCAGGGATAAATTGGAAATGAACGGCATCATTTACAGAATTAAAAGGAGAGCTGAACTCCCAGCCTAGGGAAGGACAAAACAGGGCAGCTCGGAGGTCCTTCTAGATCTAGACCATTGCCATCAGATGTTCGGCTCGTTCCTCCTTATTTATTTTTGCTTAAGATTCAGCGTTTGGGGACCTAGAATCTAAGACAAGGTTTGTGACAGGAGGGTGGGGGAGCCCTGTGATTGCCCACCCCTCTGGAACCACACATGGTGGGAACAATGGCCAGATTTTGCAAATAAAAATACAAGATGCCCAGCTAGATTTGAATTTCAGATAAACAATGCATAGTTGTTATTATAAATCTAGCCCATGCAGTAGTTCCTGGGTTCGTCTTCCTTTCCCCCAGTCCCATTCTGCAACTTCTCGGTGAGCCGGCAGCCCCTCCGACGGCCACAATTCCCTGTTGTAGCTCATGCCTAACTAATTTCTTCAATCCATCCTCAAGGTTGCTGTGGATTTTATTTCTTTCTCTTTAATTTTAATAGCCCAGCTTAAATTGCCTCAAAACTATGTACAGTAACTGACACAAATAAAAAGGCTCATGTGCCCTTTGGCAATCATTTATTATTTATGTCTTCTTTACTTTTACTTAGTGAAAAAAAAAAATTTCTTTGCCTTCTCTTTTTTGCCAAATACTTCAAAAACAGCCCTAATATAATTTAGTGTTTGTGTAATTTTTTAGTTGAACATGCATTTTCACATTTCTTATTTTATTTAGTATTGTAAATTATCGTGACTAGTGAGTTAAGTGTTTCATTGACACCCATAATATAGCCCCCCCATTTCATAGATGGGAAGACTTTGAAAGGTCGATTATAAAAGTGAGTGTTGATTCGAAGTTGTGGATCTAGGACTTAGAACAATGTGTTCTTTCCTCTATATCAAAAGTCAGCAAACTTTTCCTATAAAGAACCAGAGAGTAAATATATCAGGCTTTGAACACCACACGATCTCTATCGCAACTACTCAACTCTGCTGTTGTAACACAAAAGCAGCCATAGTCAATACATAAATGAACAGACGTATGTTTCAATAAACTGTATTTACAGAGGTCAACAGGCCATATTTGGCCCATGGGTTGTAGTTTGCTAACTAACGCCTCCTCTATACCACACAATAAGTACCTTTCAATGTTTATAAGTCTATCAAAGTTTGCCTCCAATTGGGATGCCATGATTTTGACCCATATTAATATTAATTCTTTCTTTCCTTCTTACCTCTTCTGTGTCAGTATTATTTGGACAATAACCATGATTTGACCCACATTAATATTAATTCTTTCTTTCCTTACCTCTTCTGTGTCAGTATTATTTGGACAATAACTGGCTTGGCTTCCCACTACACCTTTGGACCATCCTAGTCTGTAGCAAAGTTTTCTCTGGTACTATGAACATGCTAAGCCTGTCCTTCCTCCCCTGGATTGTCCTTGACCTACATGTGTGATCAGTTCTGACAGCCTTTGTGAGGAGGTGCCTTTCCAGTACAATGCATTTCCTAAGGCCCCAGAATTAACCAGGATAAATCATCCTAATAGTTCCCACTCACTCTGAGTTTCATGTGCCTCCTCCCTTGGGCCATCTCCAAGCTTATCCCAGGGAAACTCATGCCCTGGGATGGTAACTCCACTAGGAGGCCTTCCTGCAGCCCTCTTCACCTCTGGTCCATGGAAGAGAGACTATTTAGTTCTATCTGCTGCCTGCAGAGTGGGAAGACTGACTCAGATGCTCTTCCCAGGGAGGGCAGGAGCTTCCTAGAGCAAACCAGCTGGTTTGGCTTCTACCCTTTGCTGTTTATAGATCCTAGGACAGTGAAGGCTGGGAACTGTGTGTAAGCAGCATCCTCCTGGGCAAGGGCTCCAGTTGCATGTTGATTGTCCACCTACAACCATAATTCTACCATGTAGGAGTCAATGGAACATGATTAGCACCTCACATTAGGGACTCCAGGTCTTTAAGTGAGTTTCTAGGCATGTGTGTATGCACACCAACCATAAAGTCAAAAAAAGATTATAGAGTTCAAAATTGCCCAAACGCCTCATTTACAAGTAAGGAAACTGAAGCCTTCTAGGTATGTGTGTATGCACACCAACCATAAAGTCAAAAAACTGCCCAAACGCCTCATTTACAAGTAAGGAAACTGAAGCCCAGAGAAATCACCTTAGTGTATCATGATACCGAGGCATAAGGATTCATATTATCTTTATAAATAGTAGCCATGAAGGTGTTGATAATTTGATCAATAAAACTGAAATTTAAACTATAAAGCTTTCCTGAATATCAATATATTTTGTTTAAAATAAGAGGCAGAGAATGTGCTCAACCCAGCACAGCCCAAGAGCCATGAATGAGGTCAACTTTTTCAAAAATACTTGAGATTTGGCCTTTTCAAGGCTTCTATGTGTCCCAAAGGCAGAGTTCTCTGGGAACACTCACAACACCCTCTAAATTTCTTCATAAATTCTCCAAAGGAGTGAAGAGCGGCAGCAAAG